TTTAAAGCACTTAAACCTTCAAGATCAGTTAAGATAACTGAGTTTACATTAAATCATTTGAGTCGCAATTATTATAATAATAAATTTGATTTTATGTCAATATGACATTAAAATGTATATTTTTACTGTTATAGAAACTGTGATATTTAATAGATCGATTTCGAAAAGTAGTGAACTACAACAACAAAAAATTTTTTCATATTATTTTTATGTTTCAAGTATTGCCAAAAATAAGTTATAAAAGAATAGTATTAAAATTTAACAATTCAAAATAAAAATATTATAAATTAATTCAATTATTCTATAGCTGGTTTATGATTTCGTTCTAATATAACACAGCAATTGAATTTATTAATGAATTATCACAGCAAATTAAAAAAAACTTCAAGTTCAAACACATACACACGTCAAGTAAGGCTTTGGGTCAGTTGGCTAATGAACACTGACTCTGAGCTTAAAATTTGACAGAGCACAAGTTCAACCCTTGGTATTTGGAGTCTCAAAAAATTATTTAAGTATAATTAAATATAAGAAATAGTTTTAAGACCACTGATGATGGGTACTTGGTAATACTCGAAACAGCTGTATTGTGAACCAAAAACTCAATTAATTAAAAATAATATACAATGAATTTTTTTTTTATTTTAGTTCAATACTTTTCGAAACCTCTCCAATTATAGTAATAGTAATAATAAAATTTAGAATAATAATACACGTTATAACAATAGCAATATAATTCAAATCATATTACGAACTTTAGGAGGCTGAAAATATATATAATGTGAGTGTAGTTAAATACAATCCTAAATCAAACGGAGCTGCACAGTGTCCTTAATGGATAGTACAGACTGGCTGAATTTGTGCGCGTATCTCAACCAAACCTTAAAATATAGACAACAAATTATAGATGAGAGCTTTTAACCGCTAATAATAATAATAATAATAATATTTAAAAATATTTACTAATTATGAAATTAAACTCGCAACAATATTAAAAGGATAAAATGAATAGGCAATTGCCAGGTAAAGCTAACGACATTAGTTCATAACTTTAAGTAAGTAATGGATAATTTTTGTTTATTCCTAAAATTATTAATAAAGAATATTACTACTACTATTATTTCAAATAGCAAAGTCTCAATTTAAGAAAACTTTCTAATTTAAATCCATAAAAATCGTAGTCACTGATTTTCCATATTTCAGTTAATAAAATTCAATTTAAGATTGTGTCCAAATGGATTTTATTGTATGGGAACAATCCAATTTCAAAGCAAACAGTCAAAAATGATTCCAAGTTAATAAAGTAAAACATTTGTTTGCTCTAAACGAACTTGTTTGTTTGCACACCAAAAACGCCAACATGACTTTTAAGCCAGTTAACTAGTGAAGAAATCGATAGTAGTCCATGGGTAGTAGGCATGAAAACTCCAGGAAAAACTCGAGTTGACTAATCATAGCTCCACGAATAGTTTATGTAAATTTATTTACAATATTGCGGTTGTAGTTATAGTAACCGTTGTTGCATATGATTACTGCGGATGATGACTAATGTAGCTCATTCATATTAATTTAATTGAAGTATAAATTTATGTTCATTAAAATAATGCAAAACTCAATAAGTTATTTGCATTCCTGCTTGCATGTAGATTCAAAGTAGGTAAACTTGTATGAGAAAAGGTGTTAAAAAATTAAATAAGAAAATAACGTGAAAAATTACACAATGTGAAAATAATTACTTAATACCAATGAGTTGAGATTAAAATATATATTTAAAATAACTTTATTATAAATCTATATCTGTAAAGCTGTAAGGATAGCTCTGTACTTTTAGATACAAAAAATATTTATCATAAATAATTTTTTATTGTTCATTTCTACTTATAAGAGCTGTTGGTGAAAATATTTCAGAAATTGAATGACTGAGAACTCAGACCAGCGTTAACAAAAAATAAAATTATTTCATTATAATAGCATTAAGCTGGGATGTCAATAAATTCAAATTACATTGTAAAATTAAAAAAAAATATTACTTTTAAAAATATTTTGTTAAACGTATTTTACAATAATTTTTCTATTAACAAAAGAAAGGATAATTCACCCATAATGATGGCTATAAAAGTCATTGATCCAATTGAGCTTGTTAGGTTTTTTTGTTGGAAGAGTTCATGAAATAGATGCTGCAAAGCAAGATTGAAAAAATTTTACATAAAAATAAAATTAAAATGAATCGATGCGGAAAAGGTCAAGGATAACGCAAACTGACATCAAATCTAAAGAGGAGGGATAATTCAATAAGATTTCAACTTTAGCATTAGTATTTTGCTACTATAAATGCTTACAAAATGAAATAAGGTTAATATTTTTAGTAATAAATATAAAAAAAAAATTGTAAAAAAATTATTATAGTGAATTCAATAAGACAAACTTTAAAAAGAACATCGTTTTGCGATCTAACTAAATAGCATTATTCCATTCATAATATAAAATAAATAAAAAAAAAAGTTATTGTAGAGGTACTGTACTATTAATAAGCTATCACGTGTCAAATATCAATATTAAAAATAATTAAACCATAATTAATGTAAACAGTAGGGTTTTCACAATTTTCTTTATTTTAAAAACAAATTTAATATGACCAAATAAAATGACATCCTCATTGCATACCTGAAGTACAGGTAGTTTTAAGCCGAATTCTTTTAGAAACATGATATCCGTAATCAAAAAGTGAGAAAAGCCATGGAAGAGAGCATTAGTCGAATTAAAATTTAATAGAACTAGACATAATAAGAATATGAAAAAAAAAAATGATTGTGTAAATGATATCTTAAACGATAGTGAGCCATTAGATAATCTAAGTAAGTAAACCATGTCCAAATCCAAAGTAAATGTTTTTGTTAATTTCTTAATGCAAAGGGAATTGCTGACGAAGATTAAAGTAATTTCTTATCGATTTGAAATGCATTTTTGTTGATACCTGAATAAGTTGGTTGATGGCAGTGGCAAGCCATCAAATAGCTTCCATATACCTCAATTAGCGATTTTTCGCTGTTTTGCTACAACAGTACCCGCAAAAACACCTGATATAGAGGAGTATAGCCTGAATCCATTACGTCAAATTTAGATCATTTAATAGGTCTTTCGTCTTTACCGATAAACAGTCTAATAAACTGTGAAAAAAGTGGCTTCCTCAAAGACGCCAAAGTGTTTTATGGTTTCTTTTTTCTACAGATTTCCACAACTTCTGCAGTGGGGAATTTCCCTGCGTGGGTTTCTATAAACCACTGACTGAAAAAAACTGCAATAAGCCTTACAGTGTTCACGCGGTTTCTTTTGATGAGTTCCCAAGATATTATCCTCGAAATTACACACGTGCCTTCCATCTGTTGTTGGCAAGCTGAAGAAGGTGAAGGTAAGCACTGCTCTTGTTGGTATCGAAGGTGATATAAATCGGTATCGCCAGGGATACATCCAGGAAAGCACCCTGCTAAACTGTTAGCTTTCTCGTACACTTCGATGTTGCTATGTCAAAGAAACCTGAATAAATACTTGAGAAAACTATAAAATGTCTTAATTATGAAATTAATCTGATCAGGCATATTCACTGTTAACAATGCCAATAAGAGTTGCTGCTGCTTTTAATAAATTTGTTAAGAGTTTATATAAAAGCTGTATTTACCTTTAAGTAGTAATTATAATCTCTAATGTTACACAAATAGGTCTCAGCATCTGGTAACGGATTCATAAAACTGTTAAGCAAAAAACATAACGTATAAACTTATCTAAATGACTCTAGTTACTTTATTTAATGCGCAATTGAGACAAGTATTCCAATTCAGATGATATGTAGGATATTTTCGTAAGCATGGATGTTTTTGGTAACGGTTATAAATATTTATCGTGTTGTTAGCAACAAATACCTCACATAGCATATAAAGAGAATATATTTCAAGTCCTTTTAGTACTTGTATAAGCCGAATGATAATGTGTTTTTAAGCTCGTTCTGATTTAAAGCATGGAAAGTGCTTTTGTGTCACTTTAAAAGTAAAAAGTGACGAAAAAACCTGGAACTAGAATATTGAAACTTTGTGCAGCCGTGGCTACTTATGTGGAAAAACACGATTAGTCAACACTTCTAATTTGACAGACAGGAGTTCTAAGCCTGGCACTTGCAGTCCAAACATATTACATACGAACTATAAACGAATTAAAAATAAATTCGAATATTTACTAAGACTATTGATGTTGAGTTCGTGACAATACTCGAAACAGCGTTGTATAATCAGTCAAATTTCAATAAATTAACTAAATTTTTGTACTTGTCGTTTCTTTGTTATTCGAATCCCTCTAACTTTTAAAAATAGCTTCTTTGTCATCATAAAAAACGTAGCTTTCGGTAAAAACAATTAACTTTAAAAATAATGTGTTCATATTGTTATTAAAAATAAATTTAATAAAATGTTATTTAGTTCACAGTATTTCAATTAATTTATTTCTGATTTAGGTGCTTGTTTGACATATAAACCGATAGTTCAAAAATAGATAAAATTCGAATAAAAAAAATTTAATAAAAAATTTACTGATGAAATAAAATTAAATCTCAAATAAAATAATTGGATATATATACATTTTATTATATATAAAATAAAATATATATATTTTTTTTGTTATATTGAAAAAAATTCATTTAGATGCTTTGAATCTATGTTACCTTTCGAACTGTTTTATAGTTCAAATTTTATTTGCAATTCCAATTTTTCAAATGTTTGCTATTAATTAAAATGCATTTTAAAAAAGAGAGAGACTTCTAATTTTTGCAGGAAAATATATAAAAAATTAAAATCCTATAAATGCAATTCGTTTTACGATTTTTTCAGTTAAATTTTTATATGTTCTTTTATAAATTTCACTATACAGTTTTTAGAAATATAAAAATGTATACATATACATATATTAATATATATTTGAAAAATTTGAAAAATAATTTTCTATTTTCGTTTTAGGAGAAACATTTGCCGTAAATTGAAAATGCATCGCATACAGCACTAAAATATTAAAGTAAGTTTATTTAAATTTAAAAAACTTAATATTCCTCGTTATGGAAAAGTATCTCGAGCAATTTTTCATACTTTCTAAATAAAAACACATACATAAAAAATTCGTTAGTTATAAAAAATTTATTGAACAAAATTGCATTATCACCACAAACGACAGACATTTGCAGGATGTAAATTTGTATCGTTAGCACAACCGAAAGCCACCGCAAATTGCTCGAAATTTGGCCAATTCCGTCGCGCACGTACGTCGTCCATGTCATGTTCCAAATGCAGCGATTTAATGTCAAAGCTGGAAATTTTGTTGATATTTGCACACAAAAGTTGCACTGAGTTAATGAAAAATAATTGTTGGCTGGTGAAATTGTTGGTAGCGAATTGATTATCGAGCTGTGAATCATTAACTACATCATCGAAGTACGTACGATAGGCTAAGCGTATGCCTGCCACATCTGCAATATTTTCTGATAAAATATCTAAAGTGCTTCGTGGCAAGCAATTGATGTGCTGTGCATAGTGCTGCGCTACTGCCACGCCCATACTATTATAATTAGAATGTTCATCGTAAACTATCTGAAATAGATCAAAAGTGTGCATAATTTCGTGTGCTAATATGAAACCAAAAAGTGAATATTTATATATGTCACTTAAGTCGTGCTTAAAAAAGGGCAGTTGCAGATAACCATAAGGTACCAAAACGATATTATCAAATATTTTAACTGGTGAGGAAGAAACGGCAGTGCCAATATCAAGCAAATAGAAAACTTTGCCATCTGGTGTTACCACATTTTTCAGTTTTTCTTGCTGCTGTCGCGTGTTAAACTTCAACAATTGCAAATGATTGCCATAGAAATCACTGATATTATTCTGTATATTTTTATAATACTGTTGCACGAACTCCAGGCTCATATCTTTTGGTATGTTACCAATCTTTAGTTTTATATTTCTGAGCTTTCTTAATACATAGTTTTTCTCTTCCTCATTTAAACCTAAATAATTTTCATTTACAATAAGTTCGAAATTATAACGCAATTTCTCGAATATCTCAGAAAGTGCTGCATCGGTGGATTCGCGTTTGTTTTTATACAAATACTCCTCGTACAAATAATTCATACCAAGTGGCATCATACCTCTAAGATGTCGTATGCAACGTATAGATCTATTTGTGACAAGTGGCAGTTCTGGTTCTATTTGATACATAAACTTAAGCATAATATAATAAGCAATGGTTTCGTTTGTGGTACTATTTAAAGTACCCAACAAGTTGTCAATATAATCAAAATTCAATGTAAATGTTTGCACAATTTCTTTGTTCACATTTACAGTACGTCCTAAAACTGTTTCAAAATATTTCTGCCAATCAATATTAGGTGCCTCTTCAATTAACTCTTTAATACTGAATTCCTTAAAAATGTTCTCATAATTGATTTCCTCATGACTTCCATTAACATAATCCAACACTGTTAAATTCTTCATTTGCTCTTCTAGTAACATAACCCTCTCAGTTATATTATTGCTCTCATCTTTCGTCATACCAAAATTTTGAAAAATTTCTGCCACATTCTCTTTTTGTAATACATATTTTGATTGATGCTGGTGTATTTCCATTAAGTAATGACTACCATTTTTTAGTTGCACATTAACATTATTAGATAAAAATATGCCATTCAATCCATAAGATCTCAAAGCAGCTATAGTGTGCAACCAGTCAAAATCAGTTTCATTTGCCCATGATTTATGCCAGTCCTTTCGAAATATTGGCCACTCGAAATTTAACTCTTTTTGTACCTTTTTTAAATAATAATTTAATACTGGATCCTTTAGTTGCACACAAGATTGATAGTAATTCCATATTTGCTCATAGATACCAGTTTTATTACTATTTGCTAACAGAATCTCTATCAATTGCTCGTTGGTCTTATAGTCCATATAACCAGGCATATCCAAATATTCTTCTGACAAATAGTGTGATATCCAGTTTCCGCAAGCATATTCATAGAAATCTTCACATGGATTCACGGTGGTATTTAAGTTTGCCATAACTTTTTGAAAATATGTATCATTGTGTACATCTGCAGCCGTAAGTATTGTCTTTAATTGTATCAATAACACCGACACTAATAGCATATAGCATAATTCGAAGCGTTTATTTTGACATAGTTGCATTGTTATCTCAATATTTTTACACAATTATAAACTTAACTTTCCGTATTCTATTTTTAATTTAATACTTGCTGATTTCGTGTGAATCTGAGACTGATCTTTGTTGCAATTAAGTACTCCGAGTCTGAACTTCCTAATATAATTTCAACAGCAAAATCTCATAATCAGTTTTCAACACGAATATTATCGCATATTTCTCCCGTATAATTTATTAAGTATGCTTACAATTTTATTCTACTTTATTGTTTATTTATTTTAATTATAGTATTTTGATTACAATATATTTTTTTTAATTGCATGCCCTACCATATACTTGTTGATATTTTAAATTTCAACTTTAGTATGTATGCGAATATTATTAATATTTGATAGAGTAGTATCAACCTTTTATTTATTTTTTTTTGTTTTGCAATTTTATTTGTAATCTATTATTTTATGACAATTATTATTATGACATGTTCTAATACTTATAATCACAATTCAAGAACTTAGTCTATTCACATATGCTTTTCAGACACTCTATTACGCGCTAATGCTCTAAGCTCGCTGAATGATTTGTTAGTTTCCCTATTTATCCATTTTTTCCATATACTTTTTGGCCGTCCAAGATTCCTTGTACCTTGTGGATTCCATTCTAATGCTGAGTGTCCAATTAGACTAACAATACGATAATAACCAAATTTAATTAATACTTGTACTACATAACAGAAACAATCAACTTCCAGTGAAATTAACTGTTGCATACTAAGCGTTTAAGATCTAATCACTATCCTATCACTAACTTATAATACATGCAGATTAATTGCATAGGTATAATATAATTCCTAACTTATACTTATCGATTATCATGTAACTACATATCTATATAAGGTTCAATAAGGTAGATCTAAAATATGATTTCTTCTCAGTCGTCTTTTTGTTTCACTCTTGTCTGACCAAGATAAGATAAGAAAATTTGAGTGAACTTCAAGTGTATGGATATACCTGCAACTTAACTTTTTTATTTCGTCTCTTATCCAAGCAATCTCTAAGTCTTTGTGTAGTTGATCGTTTGTCACATATCAAGTCGCTTCTGTAGTCATTCGTAGTCACTGGAATCTTTATAATATTTCAATTTTAGAATTACTCGCTTTAGCCCACAGCTGAATTGGGTATGTGCAGATCGGTTTAAGAATGGTCTTGTAGAGTCTTGGTTTGTTCTCTAAGCTGAATTGAAAATTTCATCCAAGTAACTAGTAGTTTTTTTTAGCTTTGATACTGTTATAATTGATATTGATACAGTTGATTCTAGACTTATTAGTTGATTGGTTATGTAGTCGAAAGATATATTTAAATTAGTAATCATTGCACTAAGAATGGGAGGAATTCCTTTAGATATTATTTTAAAGATTACATATTATATACAATATATTGATGGATTTGAGTACTCTGACATGTTTCTAATATATCTATTAAAAATTTATTAATAGCTTAATAGATACCTTTGCCAATGATATTAACAAAACTAATTATAGTTCATGTAATTAAAAGAAAATCGTTTGTAATATTAAAAATAAACTGTCGATTGGGAATGGTCGTCTTCCTAACCTGTAAGGAAGATGAATTACATATGTAATATAATTTCAAATTCCCAAATAAATAATTTTTATAAATATACCTCAAGGTATTTCTCTCAAACACATAATTACACTTCTTAATTAAGTTCCTTCTGTTAAGTTAGTTTATGGGTTTGATTGTGTGTAAAGGATTTAGTTTGATATTCTAAATTCTTGTTGATTCCTTCTTGTGCAAAGATGGATTTTAAAAGTACAAACTTCTAACTGCCAAGATTACACATAATATCTTAGATATTATTTTATTGTAAATTATTTATAGGAATAATGGAAACTTATTTGATGAATAATAGTGACAGAGAAGTTTTTAAATTTATTTTCATGCAATTTATTTTCTTCTCCAACTATTCTTATGTGAACTCAATAATCAATTTATATGAATTTTTCAGGAAGCTATGAATTATATATGTTGGATCCATAGAATTCATGTTAAAATTTTATTTTTATAACATCATTTTGAGAGAAATTGAATTGCAAGTGAAAAAGTAGTTCGTTGTACACGCACACTAAGACCTCTTAACTCATTTAAAATTTAAGTTGTATATTTATTTTAATGTTTATTTTTGTAATAATAGTAAAAATGTTTTATTATTTTCATTGTTTTGACTTTTTGACATCAGTTAAACTGACAGCATTAAAATATATTTGTCTGTTTTTACTGTTTGCCATATTTCGCAATTTATTCGGTGAGATACAAATGGCAAGACATCAAGTTAGAATGCGTGAGCGTACGCCACGTAACATAAACATTGACAACTAATACTTTCTAAGACATAAATTATATTTAGTTAAGGTGCATTTTTAAAACACTAGAGTTAATTTTAAATAGCAACTTAATATACTTCATATATGAAAGTTTAGCAAATACTTGGAACTAAAAGTTTAGTCATAGTAATGTGTATAGCATTGCCAATTAGATCGTCTTGACATTTCTATCCATGTGATAGTACTTCTTTGTCTTCATTAGAAACTCTAATGTTCTACCATTTGATAGATCTGTTCACTTTTCATTATTAATGTGTTGTGCTTTTGAACACAGTATCCTCTGTGATGTATCTCCTTTCTTAATTATCGACTTCTTACACAATTTCTTTGTTCTCGTTTTGTCTTTTTTATTTCAGAATAAGTAAACTATTTGCTATGTGGGAAGTATCGTTTTTATAAAATTGTGATTAATATTCCTTAAACTTTTACCCATATTTTTATATTGATTTTCATATATTTTCATCTTTCTTATTTGTAGAGCAACTTAAATGCTATATTGACTGATATAGTTGCAGTGTATATGCACTAACTACAATGACTGCATTTTACAATTAATAATAAATGTTCAGAAGCTATTAATTATGCCAGTGTCAGATTAAGTACTTAAATAATAAATCTCAGGAAATACAGTTTTTTAGTTCTTTTATCAAGTAAATTTAATTTAAAAACTTTGTTTAAATCATTTGTAAAGAATATAACTTCAATAAAAATTGTATTTTATTGTAATTGAAAATATCATTGATTATTTTTTTTAAATAGTATTCAAATGAATAACTCAAGATTTACTCGTCAGTAACTATCTATCTTTGGTTAAAATGCAATGTAATGTTAACCACGTATTTGTACTAAAAATATACTAGTATCTGCAATCAATAGTTAAACAACTAATAGTATCTTCATTAAATTTTATTAACTTAGAACACTGAAAAATTAATTAAAATTTTTTTATGCCATCATAAGATAAATACATTTATGAGCTAAAATAAAATACTGAAAAAACAGCAAAAAAATTAGAGTTCAGGCAGATATTCTGTAACTAAAATAGGAAAGGGGTAGGGATAGGGGGAGGAGAATTTAGTTACTTTAATTTCCATGAAATTTATTAGTGTGTTATTTCAAAATTTTTGTGATGTTGTGTGTAATTCTAAAATGGAATACCCTTTTTAATAAACTAATAGTAACTTGTGCCAATGTAAACAACTAAATCTTAAAGTTACTCAAGTAACTTACTTTAAACAAGGTATAACAATGCATATTAAATCAAAGTGAAATCTGTTTTTGGGGAAGGTTAATTAACTTTATTTATATTTTCTGAAGAAAGTTTGGACATTTTAATCTAACTTATATTTCAAAGATAGGGACTATGGCAAAGGATGGTTCCTATATATTTTATGTACCATATATATTTGAAATATATTTTCATAACTAATTTTTTGATTGACTATAACAAACTGCCTCGCCAATTAAACAAGAATTTAATATTTTCATAACTATGCAATATGCAATATGGTATATACATTGGTATAAGTTAAAACCAATAAACAGCAGCAAGAAGTCCTCAGAATGAGCCTGAAAACTATATATATGATAATAAATAAACTGACAAATAAATTCTAAAACCACCTTAACAAGATATATTAAATATTTTAAATAATTCTGTAGTATATTGTAGGTCAAAAGAAATATATTATAGTAATAATGTCGGAACTTAATATTAATGTATATGATATATAATTAATATATATTCTTATAAATTATATATAAAGCTACATTTAAATATAAAAAAAAATCAACTAAAATGATAAAAATTTGCATGAGATCGATTACCGAGGCAATGTGGAGCATACGCCCACTAATATTCTTCATGTGTTCATTTTGGGTGATCGGAATGTCTTGTCTTTTATAAACGTTACAAACGAGTATAGTGTAGTGCATGAGCAAAAGAAAATGATCGTTTATTACGAACAAAAGGAATACAGTTCATCTTTCGTCATTCGAAAATGTGAATTATGGAACTGATCTATCTATTTTTCACTTTGAGAAGTTTTCTTGTGTATATACCTAAGGCGGAGGAACATTATAAATTTTTAAAGTTGAGAAATACTAAGATAGATATTTAATGTTTTTTTTTTATTTCAAACTTATACATACCTTGTGATAAAAAAAGAACTTTAGTTTTTAATTTTTGAATTCCCGCGCTTATCCAATCGATAATTTTTTTTTTTGACTTTTTGTATAGACGCCAAACAAAAACTAATCGTACGGTATGCGTTAAACTTTGACAGAATGTGTATAATAGTGTTGCCAGCGTGAAAATAAACAATTTACCGATTGGATAAGCGCGGGAATTCAAGAATAGACCTCTCGTTCTTTTTTGATCAGAAGTTTTGTTTGTTACCTAAGGGAGACATTAAAATATTTTAAAATCTCAAGATTAAGAAATACTACGTTATATATTTCTGGTAATATTTTATTTATTAATAATTTAATTTATGTAAATTTAGTTGATTTTTTCTAAATAAAATTCCTCGTTTATTTTTGTAAAGAAAATTGATGACAAAAAATCTTAAAATTCCGTAGATCTTAAATTGGCTATTTTTATAAGTGCTGCAATTTTAAAAAAGTAATGGCTTGTGACGTTCAATGTAAGTTCCTCAATAATTGCTTTAAAAATAATTTCTCAATTTTATACCAGATT